CCTCCCCCTTTTGGAGTGAAATCAGACCCCCCGACCTCGTTTCACTGGGCACCCCTTCTGAAATCGTTTGTTACATCAAAACGAAGTTCTTTGCCAAGTTTGGTGCTTTAGTCACCTCGGTCACGATTTTAGCATTTTTTGGGCCTAAGCAACTGGACTAGAATGCCCCTTGTGATGGGCTCCTGATCTGGGAATATGCTGGCTCAGAGACCCAGTATGGGAGATGTATGCTCCTAGTAATGGGCTCCTAATCTGGTAATATGATGACTTACAGAAAGAGTATGGGAGATGAATGCTCCTAGTGATGGGCTCCTGATTTGGGAATATGATGGCATACAGGCCCAGTATGGGAGGAGGATGCTCCTAGTAATGGGCTCCTGATTTGGGAATATTTGGGCTCTCAGACCCAGAATGGGAGATGGATGCTGCTATAGTAATGGGCTCTTGATCTGGTAATATGCTGGCTCATATACCCAGTATGGGAAATGGGTGCTTCTAGTAGTGGGCCAAGCATGTAGAAGTATTCAAACCTACCAACCTTGATAAGGAGTAGCTGATATGTCCCACGGGTGTGTCTTCATCGCCTGAAACGTCTGGAATCTTAATAGTCTTGAGTTTTTCATTCAAGACCTCAACAGCTATTTTCGCAACTGAAAAAATAAAATGTGATATTTAGACATTTTGGAGAGCTAAAAAAGAGAACCAGGGGTGGTGTAGCGGTAGCGGTAAAGCATCCGGCACATCTCACCTATGCGCCAGTTTGAGTTAGATTCCTAGACTCGGCATCAATAAAATGTTAGGAGAGTTTATATCTAGGGTGGTCCTAACTCCCATCCCCAATTTGTAAGTTATCGTAAAACGTATGCTTTCCATACTATAAACTTACGGTTTCGAGTCATGTTTACGTTTGTAGGAAAAAAATTACAAAAATGTTTTTAAATGCATTGGAAAATAAAATAATATGGAAAACCACTCTTACAAAAATAACTAACACTTAAAATATTATATGAAAGAAGATTGGAACAACGTCTGRCTCAGAAAAATCTATTTTATTCTTTTCTATTCCTTTAACGCACTTAAAATATTAAGTATCCTATATCTATATTTAATTTTTCGTTAAAGATTTATTTCAACGTGTCCTGGCAAATACAAAGCCCTTTAATCATTTGATTTCTAGATTCGGAAAATCTGCACAAACCTGACCCGGTAAACCGAACCATTTGTTATCGAAATCTAAAGCAATGAGCAGAGTACTCATAATGTCCAAACACTAAAACCCATACAATGAAATTGCAGTCCCCGTTGTCCCTCAATTACTAATTGTTATCTAAAGTTTATTGTTGAGTAGCTAGCCTTTCATTGTTTGAGCCGCGTGTTGTGTGAAGTGATTTGGAACGGGCAAATGAGCAAAATCATGACAAACAGATTTCGCTTTCATAAATAGGTTATTTTTGACTCTAAACCCTGTCAAATTCTATAAATATGAAAAGTGATTGGATTCATGAACCACTGAAATTAGAAATTCTTATATTTTTACCCCTATATAATTCTTAAAATGAAGTTGCTAAATCGCCTTACATACCATAAGAAAGCCCTTTATCTGTCAAGCGAAGACGAATCCCAGGATTTGTAGTCAAACTACATACAGCTAAAGTCACAAACACAAGAAAAGTCAATAAATTCTTCATACTGCTTTCTAGCCGTCGACGTTACGTCAGTATAAGCAATATAACACAGAAGTTAAATCAGTCTGTATCAGAACGCTAGAGCATCATTTGAAAACCGGAAGTGACATAATAGAGATCAGATGATATAGGTGTGTGAATTTAAGGAGGGTGGAGAGGGTCAGAAAATAAATGTTACTCGAGCCTTTTTCCTTTCCTTTGACGATTTCTAAAAAAAATTCTAATCGAATCATAGTGATCTATACATCTTGGTAGAGAAAATTCAAGGACTTTAAGGAGGGGTTTTTAGTATATTGAGTAGAACTGCAGGCTTTAAGGAGGGTGGGGAGGGTTAGGAAACAAATGTTACACGAGCTTTTTCCTTTCCTTCGACGATTTCTAAACAAATTTTAATCGAATCATAGTGTTCTATATCTTTTCGCAGAAAAACTTCAAGTGGATCTCCTCAGCTTATATACGAATTACACCTATTTCAAAAAACGTTGTCGGTTGGAGATCTGAAATAAGCGATCTGAGAACGTACGGAAATTTTGTGCTTTTTAAAAATAGTTTCTGGGAAAAATACGAAAAATCACATTTTTAACTCAAAGGTCATGCTTTATTATTTTCCAATCTAAAAGAAAACTACGTTGTTCGACTGTCAATATATTACATTTTGTCATAGAGTTTACTCGATGGGTCTCAGATTCGAAATTTCAGATCTCCCACTGATATAACATTTTTTGAAATAGGGGTAAACGGTAAATATGTAATTCCAGATAAAATGTGTGTGAAATGTGTGAAATGTGATCGTCCGGGTAAGTGTAGTCTTGAGAAAGGCTGTTCTTGGTGGTGACTGACGTTTCGACAACCTGAGCGGAAGTCATCTTCAGAGTCCAGTGAGAAAATGAGACACAGTCGATGGTATTTATACCTCTGGTTTGGTCGTAATGTGAACGGTAATTAGTCTTTCTTTCTTTCTTTCTTTCTTTCTTTCTTT